AACCGGTTAGAAGAGGTTCCACCAGTGGACCCAGAAAGCAGGCCACACCTACAGAAGAGGTTCCCAAAATTTTTGAAACCCACCACTGCCTGTATCCCATCATTTTGAAGCCAATTGAGAGATACAGTTGACATTGTGTCTTTTTCAACTGAAGGCCGTGAAAATAGTGCCTTGGCTATTCTACTGGTAACATTGGGAACTGCTACCTGATTATAAATACTCCAGAAGTCACAGCAATTGTTTAGATCACAGTAGGATTATCTTTTGATATCAATACCTTTCTAGCTTCTAGCATGCGAATGAGCTGCACTGAGATCTGAGCAAATGGTGGACGTTCATATGGCCGGTCCCGCCAGCATTGACGCATTAATTCATACCTGCAGGAGGAAATAATGAATTAAAAACATCAGGAAGGAGAAAACATTGAGGGAAGAGGAAATGCCAGGATGATCTACCCTGAAAGGTTAGTACGGGTAGTCTGTGATTTATGACCACAATTCAGCCCAACATTTCTGTTGTTAAATGAGACATTTGTTAAGTGAGTTTTGTCCCATTTTATGACCTTTTTGCCACCATTGTTAAGTGAATCACTGCAGAGGATAAGTTAGTAAACTGGTTGTTAAGTGAATCTGGATTCCCCCTTGAGTTTGCTTGTCAAAAGTTTGCACGAGGTGACATGATCCTGGGACACAGCAATGGTCATAAGTATGAACCAATTGCCAAGCATCTGAATTTTGATCACATGATCAAGGGGCTGTTACAAAGGCTGTAAGTGTGAAAAATGGCCATAAGTGACTTTTTTCAGTGCCATTGTAACCTTGAACACTCATTAAATGAACTGTTGTAAGTTGAGGACTACCTGAAGTTCTCTTTATCATTTCCACAGAATGAAATAATGAGAAATTATTGAAAACCAAGACCTAGTCTGCCAGTTACCATCAATGGAATATGGTTAAATATGTAATATACATTCAAAGGTAGAGAATGAAATAGGCAGAAAGTGGATATTTTGAAAAGGGCCTCCACTTACACTTCATCATCACAATTGAGAGGTTTCTCCATGCGGTATCCTTGCGGCAGCTTTTCATAAAGTTCAGCACATGTCATGCCACAGTATGGTGTCCCTCCTAGCAAGGGGAAAGACAGACCAGACAAAATGCCATATTTACCCATTTGGGGGTATAATGCATATGTATAGCAGCCTTTAATTACCAGAACAAGGCTGGTATCTGAATGCTACCATCTCTTGCAGAACTGTTCATTTCTATATTAGTCCCATCTTATCTTTTGTCTCCATCCAGTGAAAAGTGCAATGTTGTTGAGCATATCAAAGCAACAAGCATGAGATGGGATGCTAAATAGGAACTTATATAAACTTTGTCTTCTCCCTCAAGAGAATCCTCAGATTGTTCACATTTTGTGCTTGCTTCCAAAATGAATGTTTTAATCTGATTACTTCATCTTGTTGAGACAAAATGAAAGAGGTTTTCCTGCCACAGAGAAAAGTCTGAGGAAGTGGAACGTATGAGAAGAACAAGCTGTACAAAGCAGTGTGGGGCCCAAGTAGGATGCAGACTATGGAAGGATAATTAAGGGAACAAAGTCCAACCTGTTCCCATTAGATAGAAACTTACCCAGGCTCACAATTTCCCACAAAAGGACCCCAAAAGACCACCTGCAACAGAAAGATAAGTTAGGATGTGGGCTGCGGGCCTTTAGTACATTTAGCTTAGAAATAGAATGTGTTAGTTTTTTTACGTTTTATTTTGGTTTTGGTTCCTTACTTAATCTACAAAGGAAAAGAAAATATTAAAAAGTCAGTACCTCCTGTTTCAACATCTAAAAACTTGCTGGATGTCAGCTCCTATAAGTTCTAGCTAGCATGAACAATCGACCTAGAATATTGCTAGTTGGAAATGCTTGAATCAAACATTGGCCACACTATACTATTATGTCAGCTGAGAAAAGGATCAAAAGACTTTGTGGAAGATTGAGCATTGCTTACTATTCGAAATCTGAGGTGAACCCTTTTTCCAAAGGATAGGATACTCACACATCACTCTTAGTTGTGTATACGCTGTAATTCAAGGATTCAATCGCCATCCAACGAACTGGTAAACGTCCCTGAATCAGAAACAGGCGAAGAAGGAGAGACAACAAAGACAAAGATATGGAACACTTTTGCCTTCAAAATGGAAAAAAAGCCTGGCAATGTGGGAGAGTGATACTCTAATTCCCACTTTGCTGTGATTCTCTACCAAACTTTACCATTGTCTTCTTTACATAAACTTCTTCTCCTCGGGACAAACCAAAATCTGCAATCTTGGAGGTCAAGTTTTCACCAACCAGTATATTTCTGGCAGCCAGATCGCGATGGATAAACTAGGAAAAAGGCAACAATAATAAGTCATATAGCTAGTGGCAGAGAATGCCACTATTTTACAGGCAATGACAACACTCCCATGTTCTACTATGAATGGACTCGAATTCCTTGGTTGCATCTCATACCTAAATTTCTCAAGGATTTCTTTGAAAATGCAAGACCATCTGTGATTCAAAATTGTAGTTCATTCAGTTCTAATTCATACTAGGACAATACCCAGTTGCTCCTAGCTCTTAAAATTCCCAATAATTCCTTCTGAAAACACTTGTACTTTTCTAGTCCTGTGAAGTCATTCTCTAGGATGGTCACAGTTCTACCATTCTGTGTTTGTGAAACACAGCAGAAGCAGAAACTAAATACGCAAATAACTGATCAGGGACTCCAGAGAGTCGGGCTCCTTGGCATACAGACCTGTTTTTCACTCAGATATTGCATGCCTTTGGATACATCAGATGCAAACTGCAAGAGCTGCTGGGATGTGAGGGTGGAGGCCGTCCCATGCTCTCTGGCAAAGACAGGATCTGTCTCCAACACTCGGCTTTTGCGTAGGAAGTCTAGCAAATTCCCATAAGGTGCATATTCAATAGCGATGTATAGGTAACCTAGAAGGTTAAGCCAAAGCCTGTCAAACTGTATGATCTCAATACCTCAAGCACTTGTAATTATAATTATAATACATGTATGGTTGATCCTTTTATTAATGTTTCCCAACCACCCAAATATTATTTGATTGAGCCAGCCTCAATTGCTTTTCTTGATAACTAGCTCAGATCCCAGCACATTTAAACAAAGTTTCAACATTTCATTCAAATCACATTTCAATGAATTAGGAAGGGAACAAAAAGTGATCCAACCACTCAGTGGTGCCAAGTGAAACATGATCTTTTTTTACAAATTTGATTGTTTGTGTTTGGCTCTGTACAGATTCAAAATAACAGTGAATACGGCAGGTGAAGAAATTTGTAGCCCTTCCAATTGTTTGCCTCTTCCTCTCCCCTCCCTCCACCCAGAATATAAAGACAGGAAATGTTTGAAAAGTGTAACTTTTGCCAAAGCATCGGTTAAAAGGGGTTGAAACTAGTGCACCTAAGATAGTCACTGTTTTCTTACTTTGCATATGTAAACAACATAACTACTGTGTTTCTTTTGACCCTTGAAATAAGCACATGGCCTTATTTTCAGGGAGGTCTTATTATTTTTGATGTGCAGGAGGCGGTGAGGGTGGTCACCTCATGGCTGCTGCTGTGTTGCAATATTTTCAGAGAGGGCTTATTTTCGGGGGAGGGCTTATTTTAGCACATGCACTCAAAAGCCCGATTGAGCTTTTTATCCGGGGAGGTCTTATTTTTGAGGAAACAAGGTAGTTTGTATAGTATTTACAAAATTATGTCATATTCAGTATTTATCTTTTGATAGTACTCATATACAGATCATCTTCCTTTATGCTTTTAGAGGAGAGAGAGAGAGAGAGAGAGGGAGGGAGGGAGAGGGAGAGGGAGAGAGAGAGAGAGATGCTAATTGATTGTGTGCTGCTCCCTGGTGGTCAGTATATTTGTGATTGTTTCAGCTTCTGTTCATCTAGAAATTTGTTGAAATAAAAAGTTTGGACATGGGTGCTGTGCATAGACATGTTTGCTTTAACATACTTCATTGTATACATTAAAATGCATTTGTAGTTTTAATGCCATTTAATGCCAGTGTGAAGAGATAGTTTGGACTGTTTTCTTTTGCTGGTCTATCAATTTTATGCAGCAGGACTTGTGTAGAAGGTATTTGCTTCAGGAGACACAACCATCTGCCTTGTCACATCTGTTAAATATTAGACAGTGCCATTCTGGGACAATCAGTTGATCTTTCTCAGGTAGCATTTTGTTCGTACTGATGCTGTCTATAGTGCAACATCATTTAGGGAGGTCCTACTTAAGAACCACCCTCGTGTGAGGTGGGACGGATGTACCTGTAGGTAGTGGTGGGATTCAATTTTTTTTTACTATTGGTTCTGTGGGTGTGACTTGGTGGGCGTGGCAGGGGAAGGTTACTGCAAAATCCCCATTTACTCCAGATCAGCTGGGACTCAGGAGGCAGAGAATAGATGGGGGCGGGGCTAGTCAGAGGTGGTATTTACCGGTTCTCCAAACTACTCAAAATTTCCACTACCAGTTCTCCAGAACTGGTCAGAACTTGTTGAATACCACCTCTGGATGTAGGTTAGAAGGCTGGTTTTCCTGAATCAGGGTTCTGGGGGAAGAATGGTGGACTGAGGGCATCTTTGTGAAAGCAGGGCTGAGGACATGGTGAAGAATGAGAAACCATTTTTCTTTCTTCTCCTCTTTTCTGAATTTTCTATTTTCTGTTTTTATTCTTTTGGATTTTCAGGTTATATTAATTTTTATCTGTTTAATTGTCATGTTTAAATACAATTACTATTAAAAGAGATGAAGAAAAAAAGAAATATTAATGGCCATGTAAGAGATATTTTTAAAAAAGAAATCATTATTTTTTGTCTCTTCAGCCATAGATAACATTATCAACCAATATGCTCTATTTTGGGAGGGGGAAAAAGCAGACAATGGAAATAATGATAAGTACTGAAAATCATTTATTTAAATTTGCTCTTAATCTATGTTGTGGTGATTTAGGTTGATTTAGGCTGTGCATGGCTGGCTCAGGAATTCTGGGAGTTGAAGTCCACAAGTCATCAAAGTCAGAAAGGGCCATGGTTCCCAATCCCTTAGCTAAATGCAGAGATTATTTTATCTTGAGTCACTGGCACTCACCCTTGTTCTCACAGGCTCCCAGCAAGTTGATGATATTGGGATGATGCCCCAGTTTGCAAAGAACTTCAAGTTCTCCAGCAAAATCCCGATGATCATTCTCAGAGGCAAATTCTGAAATATAGATGAGAATGCCAATTTTGTCAAATTCAGTTAGGAAAGCTAGCCTGGGGATTACAGCAGAGTCCCCCCCCCTTTTTTTAAATTGATGTGGTCGTAAATCTGCACATTTGGTGGAAAGGATTCTCAGCTCATAGCCACTGGCATCTTCAGGTTGAATAGTCACACTATTCCTCTTGTCTCACAATCAGCAGAAAATATGCGTGCATAAATTGTACTATTCTCATGGCTCACTGCTGAGCTTACTCAGTAAAGATGCCTGCAAGAGGTTCTTTAAGGTAGTTTAAGGTAGAACAAGTTAAGAAAAGATATTGGTGGATTTCCTGCCAATAGAAAGAGAAAAAAAAACCCCAGCAATTACTGTTAATAACATAGGTTGAGGGTGACGAGGAAGAAGAAAATTCTAAGCAGAAGGTTTGGCCATCTATCAAAACGTGATCAATGAGTGGGTGGAAAGCATTATAGTAAACTAGCAGAGGAGCTTTGTAAGCAGAGGATTTAATAAAAATACCCCTCCCCCACAAATTAAAGCCCTTCATTTGGTAGGCTTACAGGCATTAGGGGTGAGAAGTGGAGTCTTCCCCTGCCAGGTTTCTAACCACGTTGATAAGTTCTAGGGATCTGGGCCATTAGAGATCTGGCGGGAGGGACGGGTGGGGGGGACACCTCACCACTGTCATTCCTCTTAAGCCATGGCAACTTGCTCAAACAGCTGCTTGGGCTGGGAAAGTTGGCAGTAGAAGTGAGGACAGAAGGCTTTTTACTTGCTAGGTGTCCAATCCCACAGTCCCATCATGTATGATCAGAAATGTGGCAGATACAGGGAGTGGGCGGAGGGGGGGGGGAGGATCCCAGTTTGAAAGAGGGAAGCTCTTCCACTAACACATGCAGAATAGCTCTGCAAAAAAATCAATTGCAGGAGGGGAGTGGATGTGTCTATAGCAGTCCTGGGCAGATCCCAGCCCCTGATCATATCATCAACTGCATCATCAATGAGGCACTTAGAATTATTTTTATGGTACCGCAGATCCTTGGGAGAAGAGAGAGAACTCAGTATGGCTGAATTTAAGCTGCCTTTGCTAGGCTGGGGAATGAAATAAAGGCCGTCAGAATATGTCCTTCAAAAACCACCAGCAATGCATCATTGGGTCATGATGTGCAGGATGTGATGAGCTCATTCTGTATCAGAATTATCAGGACTGAGCTAGATCAACATATCTTGTTATCTGATTTGGTATAAAGCACCACATATATTATTTTCAGATTAATTACATCATATAAAAATACATGTTATGTACTTTTATTTGATATATCTGTACCTAATGTGTAATTAAATCTAGATCATAGTAAGGTAGGATAACCTTATGCCTTCCCCAGAGGTGAGTTCCTACCAGTTCGCCCCAGTTCAGTAAAATCGGTTCGTCAAATCTACCGAACCGGTTAGAAGAGGTTCCACCAGTGGACCCAGAAAGCAGGCCACGCCTACAGAAGAGGTTCCAAAATTTTTTGAAACCCACCACTGGCCTTCCCCATTCCCTTCTTTGTAACTTTTACACACATCCTACATTGGTCGGCTTTTCTGATTTTTTACAACTCTGCTCTCTTCTAGGTAAAGTTAATCTAGAAGACATTCTTTCAATGACCCATTTTTATGCTGAGTATTTTCCACCTTCTTTTATTTTCAGCTATGGAGGTTAGACTAGAACATTCCTTAGACTGCTATGAAAATAGAAAAGTTTTGGCAATATTAGTTACAATCATTCGGGGGAATGAAGACTTGTTACATCTATGTGTTATATCCACATCAGTGGTGGGATTCAAATGTTTTTAACACCGGTTCTGTGGGCGTGGCTTTGTGGATGTGGCAGGTAAAGGTTACTGCAAAATCCCCTCTCCCTCACCACCCCACTAACGTGCTTTCCAGCTCCGTTCTCCTGTTCAGGGCAACAAAAGAATATCACCTTGGAGGCTGGGAGGCAGCAGGGGCGGGGCCATCCTATTTGCCAGTTCTCCGAACTACTCAAAATTTCTGCTATCGGTTCTCCAGAACCTGTCAAAACTGGCTGAATACCACCTCTGATCTACATGGCTACATTTTACAATGCAATATGAAATCAGCTGTGACTGACTGGCTTCCTAAGCTTCTCATTCTGTGAGAGCAAAGAAACAAATGTATTTCCATACTACTGTCAGTCTTTGAGGGAGGCCATATCTGGAAACAGACATTTCCTGAACTACTGGAACTCCATTGTTATATGGGTAGTGTTTCTCAAACATGGACAACTTCAAGATGTGTAGATTTCAATCTCCAGCATACAGGCTGGCGAATTTTGGGATGTTCACACATCTTAAAGTTGTGAAAGCTGTTGTTATATATAAGGTATAATAGTAGGATCTTGAAAGTCTTGCAGTATCTCTCTTCTGTCCTATAGCCGAGACTCAGAAGATGGTGGCTGTTCTTAAGTGGCAGAGTCTGAAGGTTAAACCTTTTGAAAAAAGCTGAAGGTTTGATCTTTCACTATCCAGCTATCTTTCAGGAGGGCAGTAAACACTGTTTTATTCTACAGGGTCTTTTGAAAATAATAGATAGTCCACATTTAGGCACAGCTATCTAGAATTTTGCTTTTTAATCTTGTGTTCTGAGGGAATTGTTTCTTCACAGTGTTGTGGTAATTTTTCTGTTTTGCTTGTTTCATCTATACCTTTTTAAGCCCTTTATGGAGTAGGACAGTATTTAAAAATGGTTAATAAGTAAATGAATAATTAATAACTAAATGATTCTCTAGTTTCTGACATAGATTTAGTTTGAGGAGAGGAATTGTTATGAAACCAGTTTCATCTCTTTAACCATGTGATGCAAATATATTCTAAATATCTATGATTTTATAGCCTCTGTTACCCTTTAATTTGTCCTTGGATTCCTCTGTGCAAGGAGAGGCTGGTGCATCTGCTATCTGATAGGGGAAAATCTTGCATTGTAGAGGAATAATTTGTATTTATGTTGTTGTTGTTAACATTTCTCTTATGAGCTCCAGCTAAGAGGTCAGAAATCAGAGCTAGTGGTCTAATCATTCAACCATTCCGCTAAAGAGGGAAGGTCCCAAAGGTACTTTTTAAAGAGGCAACTGGACTTTCTAGTTTTTGAAGATGTTTCGTTTCTCATCCAAGAAGCTTCTTTAGCTGAAGAAGAAATGTCTTTTTAAAAAACCCAGAAAGTCCAGTTGCATTTTGAAAAAATCATCTTTTGGACAACCATGACTTGGATGACTGGGACTATCCATAGACATTTAGAGAGAGAAGTTATCCAATAGCCTTAATAGTCATCTCACCTTTCAGCATCTTGATGGCAGCATTCATTCTCAGGCCATCTTTCTTGATCATGGCTCGGATGACTTGTCCAAAGTTCCCTTCCCCTATCATGTCTTCAAACTTGATGTCTTCCCACTCCAGGATGGGATAGCTGAGCGGCTCAGGCTGTGGTTTGGGCCGGCGGGTCAAGGTTAGGGTACCCGAGTTGAATTGCAGAATAGTTTCTTCTCCCTGTGAGAGGATTTGGGGAGAAAATAGTTTCAGGTAACCCTGCAGACCAGACAGACCAGCAGCATGGGGATCAGGGGTGGGTTCTGGCCAGATTTACTGCAGGTTTGCTTGTGTGTGTGTGTGTGTGTGTGCTGGATGCGCATTTCAATTAAAATTGTTCTGTGCATGCACAGACAGAACAATTTTAATTGAAATGCACATCCAGCACACACACAAACAAGATGGCAGTGGCGACAGCAACCGGGGAACCAGTTCAGGGGCGTGGCAGGCCTGGGTTGCTGCTGGTTCCAGCGATCCAGGCCACCATACCACTACCGGTTCGACTGAACCGGTCCAAACTGGTAGGAACCCACCTCTGATGGGGATACAAGTCTCAAAGTGCCAAAGAGTGAGGATGCTGATGGAAAGGAGTCAAGAACATTGGAGAAATGAAGGTGAATGGGCCAGGGACAGTTGCACTTACTGAGCCAGACTGGTAGGTAAAGGTGCGGCGGCGATGAAAACAATTCTTCTTGATGAGGAAAAGGGCCAGGAGAGCAAACAATATGGTCAGGCAGGTGACAGAGACAGAGCCTACAATGGCTAATATCAATTGCTGGTCCATGAGAATTGGAGGCAATTTTTTACTTTGTAGGGTAGGCACTTGACTCAGGGCTCCTGTAGGACAGAAATAAAATGACAGGATTTGTGGTACATACCAGCAAACAGCACAATAAAGATGGCTTTTTTTGCTACTTGTGGGTTCTTAAGCTATCCTGCCTCCAGGCTAAATTTGCCAAGATTGTTGCCATTGCTTGTTTGGAGAACAAAAACTTTATCTGCCAATATTCTCCCCCTTCCAATTTTTCATTGCACCATCCAACCAAATAAGCTTTTGGCCCACTCACCATCGCCCAGGATTTCAGCTCTAGCAGGCTGGCTCCACTCGCCCAGTACGTAAGACTTGGCTCGCACCCGAAACTGGTAGATTGTGCTGGCATTAAGCCCTGTGATAATCTTTGAGGTATCCCTGCCATTCTCTGTGTCTATCCATTGTGGATCACTGCTGCCTCCCAGTTGCTGCACCTCTACAATGTATTTGTTGATGCCTCCATTAGAGTATTCAGGAGCTAGCCAGGATAGCCTGATGGAGTTATCAGCGAGGGGGTTCACCAAGAGAGAGCGTGGCGATGAGGGTCCTGAGAGAGGAGGCAAATGGCACAGCTGTTAGCTCTGCAATCAATCTTTTTGGCCTGGAATATATGTCCCTGCTGTGCTACAATCATCTAGGCACTTGAGACCTTCTATTAGGGAGTAGCATATGGATAGTTCTTGACTTACAACTTGACTTTGTTTAGTGCCATTTGAAGTTACAATGGCACTGATTGGTGCTTATGATTGGTTTTCACACTGATGACTTTTGCAGCATCCCTAAGGTCAGGTGATCAAAATTTCAGCGCTTGGCAACTGGCATGTATTTATGACAGTTGCTTTGTCCTGGGATCATGGGATCACCATTTGTAACCTTCCCAGATGGCTTCTGACAAACAAAGTCAATGGGGGAAGCCAGATTCAGTTAACAACTGCAGTGGTTCACTTAACAACTGTGACAAAAAGGTCATTAAAATGGGGCAAAAATCACATAACGATTGCCTTGCTTGGTGACAGAAATTTTGGACGCAATTGTGGTCGTATGTCAGGGACTATAGAAGATTCATTTAAGAATTTAATTTTGTGGTTGACTCTCCAATCCAGTACATTTTTTTTTGCTATTTTTCAACATTACTAAAATATGTAGAATAATCTTCAGATCCAAAGATAATTCAAGAGTTATCTAAAGTGTCTAAACTGGCTGAGATATGTCATTTATCCTTTTATTTTTAAAGGCCTGGAGGGCTTCTGAGAGCTCTGGGCTTTTTGCAATGTAGTGACTTGTTTCCCAGCAATTCTTGGAATGGCCATGGAACCAGGCAACATTCCTGCATCAATCTTCTAGTCTTTGAACAGCCAGAGTTGCTGTAAGCATATCAAGCTTTTGAAAATATTTAAAAGTGTTAAAAAAGATATAAAATTTAAGTATTGAGAATAAGTGCAATCTTTATATGTTCTTATTACAGACTATATACACTAGCTCCATGATGGCAAACCTATGGCATGCGTCCCAGAGTTAGCCCACATAGCCCTCTCTGTGAGCACGTGCACCATCTTCAGCTACTCTTCTGGTTTCCAGTGTGCACCTGTGCACCAGGCAGCTGGTCTTTGTGGGCTCCAGAGTACCCAAAATGGCCAAAATCAGGCTGTTTTGGGGGCTGTTTTCAGGTCGTTTTGGGGCCATTTTCAGGCTGTTTTATGGACCTTTTGAGGGCTGTTTTTCCAGCTGTTTTCAGGCTGTTTTTCGGATTGTTTTGGGCCATTTTGGGCTGTTTTTCGACCCATTTTCTGGCTGTTTTTGGCCCAAAAATGGCTTGAAAAATGGCCAAATACCAGGCCAAAAAACAGGCATGTGCACACTGGCCAGCTGATGTTCGGGTTTCCGGTGCTCCGGCATGCACAAAGACCAGCTGCAGATTAAGATAGATGATAAATAACTGGATAGATAGACAGATAGGCAGACAGACAGAGATCAGTGGGAAGAAATTTGGATTTTTTAAAGGCCAACTATAGTCAAAATCTGGCATATTTTAAAACCCTGTGATATAATACTTATATTGTGTAAGGAATCATTTGGATTACATTGAGTACCCTGCTCCAGAAGGGTTCCACCAGAAAACCGCAGAGTACAAAATCGCGCTCGACGAAAGCGCGCATTTGACGTCATCACAGCGCGACGAAAACATCGCGCTGTGATCGAAAAATGTAAA